TGCAAGATAATATACCTAAACACAAATTATATTGGCGCACAATGCAACGCGCGCACACACATAACACACACACACACACACAATGTGATTTACGCTTTTTAAACGTGCACTCTCGGTGCACATTATAATATTATGTTTTTGGAGAAATCGCGTGCACCGAATGCAAGTTGTGTGTGCATTTCAACGGACGTTTAGGGTGTGGCGGCGTATATAATTGCAGGACGGAAGAGATCGCGCAAAGTCGAAGTATTATTGTTGTATGGGTACGAGCATGATACGAATCGTGTGTGTGCCTATGTGGAATAATATGTACTCTGTGAGCCTAGGTCATCGACGATTTGTTCACCTCAAACCGCCGACGAGTTTCTAACGGAGTTTTTCACGGTTTAAATTTAGCCAGTGTCTATTATTATTATTGTTGTTTTTTAGAATGTCACTTTATAATAATATTATAATACGCTGTACACACTGGGTACCTATATAATTGTTATACCTGCATAATTATAATAATACATACATTATTATATAAAAATAAATCACACAGCCGTACGGGACACAATGAGCGGGGGTCGAGATAATTTGACTGCGAAACACGTAATTGTATATTATGCATTTATGCATAGTGTAAAGTGTCTGCTGCGGTTATTATTTATATTAACACCCTCTTATAGTCTTACTTCGACTCTCTTAATGGAACAGTTTGGCAGTAGGTACTTAAGCTATTATCATACTTTTATAATAATATAAATACGGTTTATTTTTGAAATACTTTACTATATACTTATGGAATTTAATATAAGCGAATTATAAATTTGTTTTAAGTAGAATGTTTTTTCGATCATTTTTCATTTTTCGTCATTTTTCCATTTTCTGAATAGTTATTTAATGCCACGGGGAAAAACCACCTACAAATTACGAAAAACCACTAAAAATGGGATTTTAATTTCTAACGCTTTGTTTATCACCATAGAAACGAATAATAAATAATAATACCTATTTATAATATAAATTCAACTTACAGGATTTAATAAATAATAACAATATCCAGACTGACAAACCGTCTCCGCTCAGAATCGTTTTTCTTATACAATGATATTATATCGTTGAATTCGAGTTTAATACAACCCTTTATACATTGACTCACTTGTAACCTACTGTACAGCAGAGCGACATCCACTTACTCACTTTTTTTTTTTTAAATTTTTATTCGTTTCTACGGTGATACACAATATGTTAGAATTTAAAATCCCATTTTTAGCCGTTTTTTTGTAATTTGTCGATGGTTTTTCCAGTGGCATTAAATAACTATTGACCTCCCTAAAGTACCATCTTGATTCAATTTTATGAAAGATAAGGTACTATATGTTGAAATCCAAGCACTCCTCCTGGTAAACATTTTGTATACAGAATAAAAAAAAATTAAGAATACATTCATCGCTTCGATCAGAATCTAAAATAAACACATTTGTAAAACTACTAGATCCCTCACTCTACTCAGAATCTAAAATAATAATTAATTATTCAACTAACAGGCTATAATAAATAATAACAATATAAATATCTAGACTGACAAACCGTCTCTGCTCAGAATCGTTTTTCTTATACAATGATATTATATCAGTGAATTCAAGTTTAATACAATCCATTATATACATTGACCCACTTATGTAACCTACTGTACAACAAAGCGACATCCACTTACGACTTACATGCTTTTTGAAATTTGTAATTTAAAACACAATGCAATTTTCATCAAAGTCTAACATTTATAATAAATAATAACCAATAATCATAATATATATGTACAAGAAAAATAGCCATACCCACTCATATTGTGGGACACTATAATTCTTTTGGTTTAGATTTATTTTATTTCCACGAATGAGGGGTAAAAACAAAACTATTTCTTTTACCTACATTATATTCTATTCTAATACATTTTCATATAATTTATTCCAAAGTCTTGCATTTCAGTTGACTTTCTCGAATTCAATTAAGTCCTGAGCAGTGAACTGTTAGGAATGACTAAATTGCAATAACATATTTTTTTTTTATATCAACACCATGGAATTGAACAAATAACATGAAAAAAATATTATCTACGGCTCTGTAAAATGCGTTAAAAATTTTCATATTTCTAAGGCTTGGGTTTTATATTTTATTATTTTATCGTAGAGTATTAAATTATTTATTATATTTTATATATTCAATTTATGATTATGTTTACCCACCCAAGACGCAACTTTACTATTTGTATGTAAACATTTTTTTTTCTGTTAAAATGATTTTAAATGTAAAATTAATTTAATTTTGTTTTAGACAATATTTTAATAATTATTTATTACTCTGTAGTTTTTCAAGACTAATATTCATAAATACACGATATTTACTTATTATTTGATTTATTGCATTAATTAGCTATTAATAGTTTGTACCTACGACCAACGTCGTATTCTTCAATATCGATCGAATACGAATATTTTTAAGTTTTAACATTTAAAATGTTTTAAATATTTAATAGTTATTTTGTATACATATTAATACCACACAATCTAACAAATTATTAAGACGAGTTTATGAATACATTTTTATAATATTTAACTGTAAGGACTAATATTGAAAACTACTCGACGAGCCGAAGTCCTCTATTTGATATCCCTCGTCGACTGCAGGGTAAAATATTGATGTACGTGAACCTTATCGGTATATATTTATATAAATTATAGGTAGTCTGAAGGTTAGGAAATTACGTGGTTATGTTTTATCACAACTTTTGTGTTAACTTCAGTCGACCGGTCATTATAGCGACCTGCACGTATATTTGTACGAAATGTTGGAGTTAAGAGCGTACAAGTGTATAACTCATAGGTCATGAATCATGATTTCTATAGAGAGGTTCGTTTTTCGACGTGACGCAGCTAGACTTGTCATATTTTGCTCTCGTATTCGTGTCCTACCAAAAATACTATGGCTGGCAGTATAAAAATACAACTGCATTCTGTAAATATAGAATAAGCGGTGTATACAAGGTGATTTTTTTTTATCATAAAACATTCATTATTTCCAAGAGTATTAATGTTTTTGAAAATATTTTTTTACATAAGTATTAAGTAGTTTCAAGTTGCTAAGAAAACAACGTTTTTATTAAAAAGTCATATTTTTAAATATTTTTTTTATCCTAATACTTTTTTAAGTTTTTTACTTTTTTGAAAGACAACATAGAGTTTTAATTTCATATTGAAAAGCAGAACATTTTTCTAAGTATTTTGATACATAAAAATTGAATTAAGGACGAGTAGTTTACGAATCAAAATACTTAGAAAAACATTCTGCTTTGGAATATGGAATTAAAACTCTATTTTGTCATTTAAAAAAGTTAAAAAAATTATATATATAAAAAATATTTAAAAATATAATTTTTTGATTAAAACGTTTTTTTAACTTAAAACTATGAAAAAAAATTATTTTTAAAAACATTAATACTTTTTGAGATAATGAGTGTTTCATGATAAAATAATCACTCTGTATATTATATTATTATAATTTTTAAACAATTTATACGAATATAATACACCACACTTCATGTTTATATAATATCCCTACTGCCTTAGTAAGTATGATATTACCTACATAGGCAATATAAAATACAGTAAATAGGCATACTATTTTATTCTGTGATTTTACTATAAAACACCAGTCCTAGCAGTGGCGTATAACATAGGGTCCAAGTGTTGCTCGGGCAACACTTTAAATATGGGTGGGTGGGTAGTGATAGATGAAAAAATAGCCTCAAGTTTGTATGATATTATAATTATTGTTTGGAGTATTTTTACTGTCCTAAAAATCACTTTAATATTATATTATAATGCACGAATGATAATATTAATTATTTCTCTATATAGTTTATTCCTAAAATGTATACGTACCATAATAATAGTATTGCGATGACGCAGCAGTTATTTTTTGTACGATTTTTCTTTCTGAGAATTATTTATTTTCTTATCATTTAAATATATTTAGTGAGAATGTTCGTTGTATTGTTAAAAGCAATTAAATTTAATTCATAATATTTTTTACAACTTCTTTGACTTTTATACCCCGACGACAATTTCCATCTCGACATATTATTTTATAGACGAAAGAATACTTGTAATTGTGTTTGAATGATTCTTTCTAAATAAATAAACCAAGACTTTCCTGAAACGGTTTTCTAGTTAGATAATTACATGGATATAATAATATAAACTCCATCATAAGATTAATACGTTATACCTTAAAAGGATGCCACAAAAGTGTGAAAAGTGATACACGTCAAAATGATTCGTCAAGTCAAGTCGTAACTAGTTATATGACACATCTATATAATTTTCTTGCTTGACGATAAACGCCTACAAAAATATAATATATTATTACTCTTTAGTTAAATGGAAATACAGGCCGGATTAGACCGATCATAGCCCTAAGGCCAACAATTTTTTTCGATAGCCCATGGTAAAAAAAACAAAAAAAAAAAAACAAAATTATAAAATGTTTTAGAATTTTATTATTTTACAGCTTTTTTTCTTGCTTTTTTAGAGCAGAAAGTCATTTATTAAATCAGTTAATCAATAGATTTTATAATTCCAAATTTTCAATAGTTAATAAAGCTAAAGCGTTTAACCTTTCCTCAGACATAGAAGACCGTAAGTAATTTTTTACTCGTTTTAATACTGAAAATGCCCGTTTCCCGGTACAATTTGCCACAGCTGTACTAAGAAACATTCTCAGGACTATATGAAGATTTGGAAAAACGTCATCAAGCTCTTTACTTTTAATGTAAGATGACATTGTAAATGTCACTGTATTTTCAATCGATGTAAATAATTGTTCTTCTGTTTTCATTAATTCTTTAAAATGAAGACACTCATCCAATAATACTTCTGAGCTTTGAATATCCGCCGGAAATTCTTTTGCAATAGATTGACAACTGTTTTTGATACTTTTAACTGAATCTGTTTTATTTAACACGGCCACACGGGGATACATCCAAAAATATTCAGAATATCTGAATAAGCTTCAGATCTAATTTTTAATTGAGTTGTTAAGGTATCAATAATGATGTAAAATGTATTTATTTGAACATTTGTTTTTCCACGATGTTCAGTTTCTGATTCGATTAATTCATCAACTCGTTGCTGTAATATAATAATAAATTCACAAGTTATTGTTGTTATTTAATTAAAGATTCAGAATTTAAATAACATACTTTTCTCTTCTTAAAACGTTTTTTATCATATTCATATGTTGTACAGCCACTCAATAAAATCGCTTCATTTTCTATACTTTCAAAGTCATCTCTCAAATTATCCACAAATTGTTTAAGTGAATCATACCTCTGGTACCTACCTTCAGCTATGATAATTATCATGAACAGTATCAATTATCAAAGCAGCCGCATTTCCTGTACTGCTGCGGCGAATTGCACTTGTCCGAAAAATGATAAGACGTAATTAAAAACCATATTAAGATTTAAGTAATTCTTCGCTTTGGACTGGCACGAACTTCCACAGTCACAGTGCCGCTATTAAAAAAAAAAAATAGCCCCCTCTGATGGCAACTTTTATCTAGCCCTAGGCACGTGCCTACCCTGCCTATACGTTAATCCGGCACTGGGAATATAACACACGATAACCGTAGTAGATGACCGTGTGTGTTAATATTATTTAAAAATCATAATGGCGTACAATCGTTAAATATTATTATTTAAAAAAAACGCAGCACATGAAACGATTATATTTAGGTATATTATTTGTAGAATGTAGGTATCTAAAGCGTGATGGACCGGTGTTTCTTAAAAATTATTAGTTTTTTTAAGAGTCAACTCCATAGAAGAATAAAATTAAGTTAAATTACAACTTGTCGGGTAGCACTAAACTAAGCGCTTTCCAAATTCAGGTATTCCAGTGACAACAAGACGTAATCAAAATTTCTAATTTGCACTAGTTTTATATAGGTATACATATGGTTTTGAATTAAAAATTAAATTACATCTCATGGAAAAATTTCCCTAACCTGTTTAATTTTTTCCTTAGCAGAGATCAACAAAATATCCCACTCCTAGGAGATATGGCGAATAATTGTACCACACACACATTATGTATAGTATAATAAATTATTAGATACATTATTTATGTATATTATATGATTGGAATTATGAATCCATTAATTATAGAGGTAGGTTTCGTATTCGGCTAGTCCCGGTTCACCACTGCAGGTATTATTATTTAATAATGCCCAACACTCGTACAGCAAAAAAATGTATTAAATCGTAAACATAGATCTTGATAATCTCAAAAGTGGTACCTGCAGAATAATTCTACACATCTATCATCACCGTTCACCTCTACATGTTTACATGTTTCAAACCGCTGCTGGCTACTGTTAATAGTTCTTTCGTGGCTTGGCACGGCGAGTTGGCTGCTACCAGTCGGGTAGTGTGACTGAGAGTAAGTAACGCCCGCTGTTACTAGTTCCCGGATGGGTGACCACCCGCGGGTTCGTAGTAGTTCAAACCTATTGCCACACATACACGCTTCCTAACCACAGGCCCGGATTGAGCCGGCGGGCAACCGGGCAAAACCCGGTGGGCAGTTAAAAATTCGAAAGATTTGGGCCGGCTCGAAGAAATTTTGAATCAGACATTTGGGCTGGTCTAGGTGGACAGCCCTTTAAGTAATTTCTTCCCAATCCGGCACTGCCTAACCAACCACACTCACAGTTCCAACCTTACCACACCAACCCTACCAATCTTACAGGTCCTAATAATGATCTCCATCGAAGCTTTTAACTATATCTATCCTTTATAAGGTATTTCATGGAGTATACCATATAATTATTTTTCAATAAGAATATTTTGTACCGATCACACTAATTTAGTTAATCGACTTTATATTACCTATATGTATAATTATTATAAACATGTCTATACAGAGACATGCAAATACCAATATATATTTTAATGTATACCGGGAGATCCGATTAACACTAATTTCAAAACTATTAACGTTTTGGAAAATATTTTTTTTTAATAACTTTAAAAAAATAAAAAATAAATATTATTTCTATTTTTTTTTTTTACTTTTTTAAAAACAACATTTTTAATCCTTTTTTTAAAATCAGAATATTTTTTGGAGTAGGTACATCGATGCATAAAAATCGAATTTTGGACGAGTGGCTTATGAGCTATAATAGTATTTAATGTTTTGATGAGCGGAGTGGAATGGTACCAGCAAAATGTCAGTCCTTTACTCACTACCACTTGGTAGTCAACTCATCAAAACTTAAAATACTCATAACTACTATTAGCTAATAAATGACTTGTCCAAAATTTGATTTTTATAAATCGAAATACTTCGGATCATATTCTGACTCGAAACATGAAATAAAAAATGTATATTGTCATACAAAAGAGTAATTAAACTGTTAAAAATGTATTATTTTAGAAAAATATTTTTTCAACACTTTTTTATTAGGTAAAATAAATATTTTTTTCATCCTGTATATGTTTACAAACAGGGTGTATCTAGAACGTAATACGATATATTAATTATTATACTGTCAAATCTACCAGTTCCAGATTATAATATTATATCCTAGCCGCCAGCAGCCACCACTTATTCACCCAGCTAAGATAATATAATGATTAATAACCTTATATGGTATAGAAACTTTTCAAATAAAATCACCCAAAAATAACTCCATACGTTATAATGGCGAGGGTCTAAAGTGCTGCAGCTATACGCAGCACTTAGGTTAGGTTATGTTTTGCAGCTATAAGTACGTCATGATAATAATATTATTTACCCATAGTCTTTTGATTTCGCGTGATTTCTAGTGTAGCGAAGCCTTTCAATAGCGGATGTTCGTGAGGAATTAAAATGTGTATACGTCTGCTGCACCGAGGCGTGTCCAACTGCAAGCTGCAACGGTGTCGTGGAGAATACCCGAAATCGTATTAGTTAAGCGCAAAAAAAAAAAACTTTGCGAAATGTTCGTTGTACATAACCTCTATACTTGTATCACGTTTCTTTCCATTACGGTATACAAATATTATGTCCTCTCGAATCGCTCAGTCGAGCGGTTTTTACACCGCAGCGATTTCGGCCAAACGTTAAGCCCAATAACATTTGCTTCTAGCATATTATGGTATATTATTATATATACCTACCTATAATACATACCGCAATTGTACTACCATAGAGTTACCGTACTTACGTCAGCGTCGGTGGGGGGGAGGCCATGATATAATATATTCGAATTATTATAAACCTTTTCCGGTCCGTTTAGACTAAATTTTTTTATACACTACATTTCCGGTGCATAGGTACTTTATATAAAATAAAATATCATACAATGTATAAATTAATTATACTTGGTGTATTTTATTTCAATAACATTTTGAAGAACAAAATCAAAATTATATATATTTATACTTTCTGACAAGCTGTTGTAAGCCACGGATGACGATATTCGATGGTCAAAGAGTGCGTGTTTCAGTTGGTCGTCTTGATTCGACTGAACAAGTCGGTACCGGAAGTCCGGACGCTCCACGGCACTAGCCTATACAAGCTCACGACGTTGACCGGAAGACGTGGACTTACGCCGATCGTATAGAGATCCAGTGCCGGAAGTCGGTCAGGTTGCTGATTCCCTGGGTGAATTTCTGCGACGGAGACGGCGTGGGCGTAAGGTGCCTGCTTTACTTCGATGTGATTAAAGGTGAAGACAAAAAAATAGTGTCGTCGGTGGCCAGAAAACATGCCATGATCGCTATTGTGGACGAACTGGGAGGTTCACACAAAGCTCGTGCCGCACGTCAGACAACAGTACTGTGTGAGCCGGGCAATTTACTCGACGGTCAAACGGTTACATGACCTCGAGACAAATATCAAGCGAATTTTCATGGACGGCGGACGGCGATGGAGAAAGGTCCCTATTGTACTTCGGTGGGATAAAGTGACCAGCAGACGTACGTGGACACCAGGATGATGGCCGCATAAAAATTGTGGCCGGGCACCTCCGCGGTCGTCCAATCGCAGTCCACTTGCAGGCGGTGACCACGACCACCACCCCGACCGTGCCGATCGCCCACACGACAACACGAGTGACGGCGTCCACGTCTTTTAGACGCTTGCAGGCCACGAACCGTTAGGACACGGGGTCGTATAATCCCAACAAGATCAGATTTAAATAGTATCGTACGCGTTACGGGGGAAAAAAAATTGAATAAAAGTAGTACCTACCCTCATTTAAGCGAATTTTCGGAGGTTCGGGTTCGCTATACCTGTATTTATACGAAGGCCCGTCTGCAGTACTTACTTACATCTACTTAGCTGCAAGTTACTCGAGAGTGAATATTTAAATATATTTAAATTTTTATAAACACTGTATTAAGATAACTACGAAAAAAAAAAATTCACTTGATATTTTTATCGAGGTCATGTAACCGTTTGACCGTCTAGTAAGAAGCCCGGCCCGAGTAGTATTGCTCTCTGACGTGCGGCAAGAGCTTGGTTTGTAAGTAACCTCTCAGGGCGTCCACGACAGCGATCATGGTGCGTTTTCTGGCCACCGAAGACACGATTTTCTTGGCTTCAGCTTTGACCACATCGAAGTACTGCAGGAACCTTACGCCGGCGCCGTCACCGTCGGTGAAATTCGCCCCGGGAATCAACAACCCAATCGACTTCCAGCACTGGAGTTCTATACAATCGGCCGAAGTCCACGTCTTCCGGTCGATGTCCGTGATCTTGTACATACTGGTGCCGTGCGCGTCCGGACTTCCGGTACCTCCGTCGATTAGTGGAATCAATATAACCAACAGACCATCGTCGTCCGTGGCTTACATAGCGACCGCTCGGCATAGCATCAAGTGGCGAAAGCATGTGTAAAAATATAAATTGAAACTTACAACAGATCTTTGAACAATAAATCGCAAAAATCTAGCAGAACGCAAAAAACTATACGAATATTATGCTTTTCCTAGAGGATTTAATATTTTTTACAAATCAATTACAATAATATAATCACGGTAACTAAATGAATACGACCGCAACGGTCAATCGTTCAAAACATAAAACTTTTACTCACGTATATTATAATGTTATTATTATAACACAATATATAATATTATAAGTTATAACGGTCAACAACATGTACAGCACGTGCATGGTGCGACTACATAGCGATTTCATATGAAATAAGTTAAGGCGTGTGTCTGATTTTTTTTATTTAATATTATATTATTAATTAATATACTCAGATTAAGAAGGAAAAAGATCAAATTTTTTTAGGAAATATAAAATATGTAAAAATATGCGTATGAAAATCAAGAAATATGCACTTTTTCCTTAAAATTAACGAATAATGCAAAATATGCGTTTTAAATTTTTAAACCCACCATTGTATTACTCGGATTTCTTGCTTTGTCTGCTATAAATCGAGAGTATATAGAATAATTTTCAACTCTTACATCTTCCAACCCTTAGGGGCCAATTATTCTTGAAGATTTAAAAAATCAGCGCCCTATACAGTCATAGCCTACTTGCGTCCAAGTATACATTTTTTTTTACAAAACGAGTTGCATCCAGTAATTCGATACTGCAATATCGATTATTTGAATACACTTCTTTAAAATACAGTGGAAACTTTGGTATCTCGAACTCTGTATATAGATTTTTTTTACAGCCCCTATCATTTTTTAAAGTACCTCGGTAACTCGAAGTTTCGATATGTCGAATTTTTTTTTTGGAGACTGACTTTGAACCCTGCAGGTTCTACTGACTATTTTAGGATATTATATTATGAGTGTTCTTGCATATATAGCACTCATTTTATACTTTACTTATAATGTATACAAACGAAATACTGATTATTAAATATTACATAGACTATCCATAGTTATAACATTTAATATAGTTTGAATTGCCATTAGTGTATAGGTACCTGGCATATATACTTATGACTTACTACCGACGTGTATTATAGGACGAGTGACGAGTTTAGGCGATGTCCACCATATCAGCTAGTGACCGAAATATTTTTCTTGTGGGTACGGTAAATTAATAAATAAAAAGTCGCTCTGCTGTACAGTAGGTTACAAGGGGATCACTGTATAATGGATGGTATTAATTTTGAATTCAATGATATAATATCAGTGTAAAAGAAAAACGATTCTGAGCGGAGACGGTATGTCAGTCCAGGTATAAGACATATTAGATACTTATCTATGGTATTAAAAAAAATTGACCTATAAAAGGTACCTATAATAAATTAAAAATTAATCATATTATCACAAATCACAATATCCATTAGGTACTATAACGCGTTATACATCAACAAAAAACCCTGATACTATCATAGATATATAATAGTATACTTTAGAAGTTTTAAGTACCCACTAATAATATTATACAATCATAAAGAAATAACTAAAATAGTTATATCTACTAGGTTTTTTAATATGTAATTTCGTCCAAATTGAACTTACAATGACTATAAAAATAAACTGTGTCTATGTATTTTTTTAGATTTTTTGATAACAGAATTAAATACTTACGTGGAATCTTGTTTTAAATTTTCATACCTTAGGTATAAAAGTTGAACATTTTATACATTTTTAACTACAAAATAATTATTCAATTTTAAGTTTGATAAATTTTGTCAAAATTCGATCTTTAAATGTTTATAAAAAAAATGTTGACTATGTATTTTTAATATTTTTTAACTGCTATTGCAGTAACAATATATCAGAAGCCTTGTATTAAATTATTACACTTTTTGGCCTACTAACAGATAAAACTTTATTGATATTCATAGAAAAAAAAAAACAAAAAAAATTTAAATATGAAATGTCCGTAAACAGCTCAAAACAAGTCAAAATATTTTGAAAATGTTATCAAGTATAAGAATTGATAAATTAAACATTCAGTAAAATTTTCATGCATCTATAATTATTCGTTTATGAATTACAACAAAATAAGGAAATCGCTACATGAGAAATCGAGTGAATATCCAATGTTGTAAAAATTTGAATTTCAAACGCTCATAAAAATTTAATTTGACTGTCCGGTAGAGATTTTTTTATTGATAAAGGTAGACAAACTTATGAGTAATCTTGTATTACATTTTAAATCTTAGATTTAAAAGAAAATTTTTACGAAAATTAAATCAAAATAATTTGCTACTTTCGGGATTTTTCCATATTTTGTCAAATTTTGAACTTTAAATGCTTATAAAAAAAATTGTGACTATTGATTTTTAATTTTTTTCATCTGCCTTTGAAACAATATACTAGAAGCCTTCTATTACATTTTCAAGCTTTTTAACAAACAAATAAAATTTTATTGATATTTATAGAAAAAAAAAATGCTAATATAAACATTCTGTCAAAATTGCATGTACCTACGTCATTTGTTTAAGAGTTGCACTAAAACCAAAATCGATTTTTTCGAAAACAGATTTTGTGTAAAAATTTCCGTTTTTCCTTAATTTTTCTTTTGTTTTTCACGGTGCTTTTGAAAACTACTAGAAAAATTGTAATTTTAACCTCCCAAAGTACCAACTAGATTCACTTTCCTATCAGAAAGATACTGTTGAAGAAAATAAAAGCACTTTTACTGTCCTAAAAGGTGATGACAGACACAAAAAAAAAACACACATCATTGTAAAATCAATTCATTCATCGTTCCACTCAGAATCTTTTTATTTATCTGTACATAATTTATTTGGCTGCACTCTAACGCACCGAATAACCCATATGAACGCAGTATACAACATAACCAGACACTGTAAGTAGTAAGTACATAGGTATTTAACAATAATTTATATCAATGATAACTCTATAGATTTATAATATATAGAATATAAATTTTAGTGCTAGGATAACTATACTATACTATAATATACATCAGTGGCGTACAGAACATTTTTCAGACCTGAGGCAAACTATACAATTTGACCACCTACCCTACCACCATCAGGTTTTTGGCGGTTTTTCGTACTCAATTAATACTTTAACAAATTGTATAAATGTTATACGGTATTTAAAATGTACGATCAAACTAGCGCCCAGTGGCACACCTATTATAGTAACCCACCCGTATTTTCCCTGAGGCAATTGTCTCAAAAAATAGCTGTTCAGCATGCATTATATCGATACATTCAACTCGCGTTCCCAAAACGATGCGCAATAGGTATAGTTAGCACGGCGGCCTAAATACTAATAATTGCAAAATATTATGTCTCTTTTGGGACTCGAGCAGACAGTGTGCAACGCCGACATTTCAGTCGGATATTATACAGTAGTACTATAATATTGTGCCAGGCATAATAGTACGTATTATATACGTATAATAGTGTGCGGGGACCTATCTATACGTTTGGGGTAGCCTTAATAACGTCCCCGCTGAGAAGGGATGATTATAATCTTGTGACTTATCCGCGTACGACTTGTGTTACTTGCGAGGGATTTAAAAGCGATGCTCCAGCCGCGATGGAGTCGGCTCAGCGACTATCGGTCCACCACGTTTATCTATATATTATATCACATTGTAATAATAATAATGATACAATATTATTTTGTTTAACTACCTATTATATTGAACTAGCGAAATCGATTAATGCAATCACTATATTATTTTAACTGCAGGGTGGCACACGTCATGTAGGTATGGATAGTATTAATTACAGTTATTTATTATTTTTTTCCACATTATTGGTTTCAGTATTTCACTAGAATAACATAAAGTCATTTTGTTACGTTATAAGAGTCGTATATATTTAGACATTAAAAGAATTAATTAAATCGAAAATTTCGTTGGACGAAAATACTTCTATAAGATCTATACTTATATATAGAAGTGTGTTTAATTTTAGATTCTGAGCGGAGCGAGGAAGCTAGTGGTTTTACAATGGTGTTTATTTTTTTTATTTTTTTTTATTTTTTTTTTATCCTGTATACAAAATTTCTACCAGAAGAAGTGCTTCGATTTCAACATAATATTGGTAGTACCTTATCTTTTAGCAAATTGGATCAAGATGGTATATTGGTATTCTTTAGAGAGGTAATTTTTCGATTTTCTTAATAGTTATTTAATGACACAAAAACTACCGACAAATTACGAAAACAAGCTAAAAATGGGATTTTAATTTCTAACTCTTTGTTTATCGCCAGAGCAACGAATAAAAATTTATAACAATATTATAATATTAATTCAACTAACCGGCGGCTATAATAATTAATAATAACAATATAAAAAGGACAGACTGACAAACCGCCTCCGCTCAGAATCGTTTTTCTTGTACAATGATATTATATCATTGAATAGTTCAAGTTTAATACAATCCTTGACCTACTTGTAACCTACTGCACAGCTGAGCGACATCCACTTACCTGCTTTTTATACTATACGTTTCATTGCCTACAGGGCCTAAAATAAATGAAACTTCGTACTACACTATTTTATAATTTCACACAATTTAATATGAGTTCTCCCTCTCTAAAAATAAAATATAATTTAAAATTTTTTTTTTTATTTATTTGAAAATTTAACATAACACCTGTCACCTGTATAGAATAATTAAAAGTATAACCTAAAATTATATTTAAAACTGAATTTTTCAAGTTCAATATTATTTGTTAAATTATATTTTTCTTTGACTTCTTCAAAAACCCCTTGATACCATTCCTGTTTTTTTGCATGTGTATGCATTTTAGAATGTCTTTTTTTTGTTTATCCAATTAAAGACAGCTGGTTG